ATTGAAGAAGATAATTATGGAAACCCATTAGATTCATATAATTTTGGAGAAGATACATTCGAATATATAAAATATCTTTTCTACGTATATTAGAAAAAAAATATAAATAGACATTTAACAAAATTTATTTATTTAATGTAGAGAGAAGAAAGCCGACCTAACCATCTATATATTTTTTCGGTTGGCTATTTGATCGACTTCGCATTCAAACACATGCTTCGATTACAGATAATAGTTTATTGATCAAAATCGTTACATGATCTATTTCGGGTACGTGGGATCTATTTTGGGCGTATCAATATACTGGTAATGGAACACACAATAATACTATTGACACTTCCGGGTCAGAGATATGCGTAACGCATGAAAAAAATTCACTATTCAGTAAGATAGAGGCGATTGCAAAACAAATATAGTTAAAAATCACATCCCACGAAGCTATCTGGGGCACGAGATCGTTTCACCAAAACTCGGGTCAAAAACCACGTGTGAAAATCCATTTCTTTATTATCCAAAAAATAAACTACAAAAGTCGGGTATAATTACATCATTTTTTGGCGCGGTATCCCTCAACCCTAGCCCTCTTTGTAGCTGGAGATGTTTCAACACGCTCTATCCTTTAACAAACCGACAATGACACCCAATACCTTTCTCACACTCTTGCGTAAAGCGAGGTATTCTTCGGAATCAAAGAATCTTCAGTGTGTGCGACAACTTACTGTCTTGCGAAATTTGGTTAGAGCTAAATAGGAGAAAGTGCCAATCCCTCCCTAGAATTTATGGATAATTTTGAGAGATGTAATCATTAAAAATACGATGTTTGTTTCGAACGAGCTCTCCAATTGCACGATATTTTGCGCGGGACTTTGTGCTGTTTATCTTCAGTGACGCAAATCAAATCCTCGGTTTCCTATAATTAACGTGAGTGTGGGCATTAGAAATTATTTGGCTTTTACATGTTAACCATAGAAAAATATACCTTGATTGCGTAATCGACTTGGCCTGTACTTTTTTCTCCCGTGATTTCATATTGCGGTCTCATAATAAACTCCTCTGTGTCGAGATGACTTGATTCGGTAGATTGATTTCGATGGGAGTGGAAACTATAGATTTATTAGTAGCTTTACCGTCATGGAGGGCATAATGTAGTAAAGCCACGACGTATTCATTCCGTATACTTCTAAGCTATCGACGAGTAATGTCCCGTAATTTTTCAGTCGGACTAAAATCTCGGCCATACAACGCGCAAAATACTTATCGTTGTCTTGAATCTCATAGGTTGGAAGGGTGAATAGCGGGATGGATTCTATACCATCACTATCGAGGTCATATCTTAATCTCTTAGACTGCGGTACGATGAAAACGCCCTCAATTTTTTCTCCTTTATTTCTTTGGCGAATTCCACAAGAGCCGACGCCGGTCCAAAAGTCATTCCTAAGATACGGAATTCATCTTTGGTCGTCTTGAGAAATGTGCGTCCGGTGATCTCCTCATCGCGTAAGATTTCGAAATGAACATCACCGAGTTGCAAGTCTTTCTGCTCCTTCAAAAATTCGATAAGATTTTCCGTATCATACTTTCTAACCAGTTCAACTGGAGTTGACATTTTGAGTTATATACAATTTTTTGGTGGATTTTATTGGTAGACTGCGGAATGGTACACAAGAAAAAAGTAAGAAGACAAAACTGGAAGAGAAGAAGCATCTGGAGAAGAAGCACTTTGAGGGGTGAGTAGTAGTTATAAGATATTGTGTTTAAGTGTATTGGGAGGGAGTTTTATAAAAGAATGGTAGATTGGGGTATATGATAACTTTGCGGGACATGGGTATATGTGAGAAATGTATTACCTTTCGGCAGAAAATTTTCCAGGTGATATATCTATCGCGAGGAACTTTTATTCACAACAAGAACAAAAGCTCAGGGGGTGGGGGTTATTGAGATGGGGGGAGATATCTATTTTTAGAGATGTGAATGAGTGATTGAATCTTGTTAGGATGAATCCAGGGGGTAAGTGGATCTATCTGTAATCTAGAGAGCGTAGAAAGAGTATACGTCCTAGAAGTTGGTTAAGAATGTCATCATGGCTGGGAGTGGGATTGTGTCCGAAGGCTCTTGTGGTGAACGCGTTCCAGAGGGTGAGCATGGCTGTGGACTGGAGAGATCGGAGGAGACGGGATCCATCCTGTGTTGACGCAATCGATTTTTCAGGCATGTGATTTTATTTCATAGTAACAATCAGCAGGTCACTGGCTTTGGGTCCGAGTATTTCCTCTCATTGCAATCGCTCTATATATCTACTTTGTTTATTAAAAAAAATAGTAAAGTCAAGATGGCAAAATATGTGTTATGTGTGTTAATTAATCAAAAAAAAAGGCTCACAAATTGTCCCACTTAATGAGAACATTCATACCAACCACAAAAGTAACGTTTGTTGGTGGAAGTTGTGCTCTGTTCAAGCAGTGAAGTTTTTTTTACATACAATTGTTACTACGCGATCACTCTAAATGGGTCTAGTTCAAATGTTCACCGGCATTATTTCGAAATTATCCTTTTTTGGTAGTAATTTGTCGAGGCGTATCAGTTCCGAAAATAAGCAATACTTCAGAATCAATAATTTACCTTTATAAATGTATTCAATTGATTATTTTATTTTATTATTATTACAATAAAGCAAATGATTAATCCGTCTCATCAATGATGTCAATGATATTATCCTCGCCAATGACGGAGTCAGTGGTATTATCGTCATCATGATCATCATTAACATCATCATTGTCACAAGTAATAAAATTATTCGTTGTTTGCTAATCTGTCACTTTCGAGACTTACTGTTAAACAATGACAAAGTAATAAAATATGTATATAGAATTACCCGTATATGAGAAATTATAATTATAACGGTTCCACTGAATATGAAAAAGCCATGCGTTAGGTTGCAATTGTGGTTGTTCGAAAATGATTTCGAGAGAAAGATTTGCCGAATTACGTGAGGCGTTCAAGATCCGAACAAGATATATTTTTAATGGCCCAGTTGAAAGCAATGAATGGTGGAGAAATAACGGCTAGTCGACGTCTTAAAAGGAAAACGCGCATTAATAAGCGAGCGTTTTACTACTGAGATTGCAATACGCCACTTTGTCAGAAAACATATCTCAATATATTAGCAATTGATCGCACGCACTTGACGAGTGGTATAATACCGCGCGTTCATGGTAACATAAAACGAATGCCACGATGGAAAACCAAATTCACTATTGATATAACCGTTGCTACTGCCGTGAAGGATTTTTTCGAAACTATGCTGAAATACATGGGGACTATTAAGTCCCGGTAGAAATGTTAATCGCATTACTCAATCGCTTACAATATTGCCAGCCGAAACGAGTTATAAATCGGTCTATGTGATTTTATTGCTGGCCTTGAAAATAATAGTACGTTGAAATTATTAAAATATGATGCGTTTCGTAAGTTATGGCACCAATTAACGCCTTATATTAAATATGAGTCACGAACGAATTTATGTGACACGTGCCAACATTTTCGGAACTTACAGTATAATGCTCATAAGGGGAAAGAAGCGAAAAATTTATTGAAAAAATTCAACGAACATTTAGTTAAGCTAAATTATAAAGAAGTTATTACAACAAAAATACGAAATTAGCAGAACAACAGAGGAAATTGGTAGATAATAATTACGTTGTAACAGGAGGTAAAGCTGATCATTGTAGCGTTGACGCTACCGCTCATTAGAGTCATGATCGAGCGCAAAATGTTCACGTTCCGCATTCCGATCAACAGGTAAGTAAGATTTACTATCTCAGTCCGCGTAAAGTACATTTATTTGGTATCCAACATGAAGCAGTACGCGAACAAATTAATTACGTTCTCGATGAAGACAACATTATCGGTAAAGACCCTAATGGTACGCTGAGCTTGGTATTTGATGGGATTAAGCGATTGAATAAAGGCGAAAAGATTACTTGCGATAACGCGGGTGGACAGAACAAAAATGATGCCACTATTTAGTTTATTTAGTAATTGCGGTTATTATAAAAGTATCGAATTAAATTTCATGGTACCAGGACATACTAAATTCAAGTGTGATGGTAGTTTCGGACTGATCAAGAAACTTTACCGAAAGACAACAGTTGATTGTGTAGACCATATTGTTAAGGTCATAAAAAAATTGAGTATAGCAGGATTAAACCAGGCTCAACGCTATGACAGCAGATTTTCAGTACTTAGATCTTAACTGTGTTGGGGGGGTTTTTTTTTAAAAAAAATTGAGTGATTTACAGCATTTTGTATGCGAAACAGCTCAACCTGAAAATTGTCAAAATCCAGCTGGTTGCTAGTAGTACTTACACGGAATTTAATTTATTGAAAACCAAAAAAGCAAGTGTTTCTGAATTACCAAAGAAATTAAATCTTTTTCCATCCTCGTATTGACACCTCCTCCTTTGGATTACAAAAGACAAGAATATCTTTATTATAATATTCGTCCATTTGTTAGAGACAAATTACTCGTCCATAACCAATTTATACTGGCAATTAATAGACTGTTTAGATTCTCTTCATTATTTCAACGCTCGTTAATTGTCATTAACATTAAGTTCTTCGTCTAAATTTTCAATAAATTCTGCTAACTTTTCCCGCTTTAATTCTTAAAACTTAATATTAGAACAATTATATACTTAATGTCTTTTTTTTTACTATTACGTATGCTAAGGAATAAATAAAAAAGTATGGTAAACGTAATAGCAAAACTCGAAAAGAGAAACAAAGAATTATTAAAAGAAATCTAACAATTAAAAGCACCTTTACAATTGAATAATGAAGAAACTAGAAAATGAGTGATTGATTGTTTAAGGTATAATTGAGAGTTTATGTTAACTAAGAAATTTGGTCAGCATTTTGTAAGAACTATCCTAGTGAACCAGTTTGCAAAGCATATATCGTTGCAGTTAATCATTACTACAACCTAACAAGGAATCTTTATGGAGTAAGACGATGCTAGAGTAAATATTATTATTGTGAGCCCGGTTAAATTAAACTCTGAAGAAAGCAAAGATTTATTTAGGAAGTGGGTAAGTTAAAAGATAGTATAACCACTAAAAAAATATTAGAAAATGGCTGTGAAGCAGATTGAGACAGTTGTTATCATTACTAAATACTAGTACTAGACACCTTTCTCTAGATGAGTTAATTAGCAATTGAAATGAATTAACCGTTAGTTATAGTGTTAATAAAAAGTTGATAAGGTGAATGAACTGTTGAAGAATTACTAGAGAAACAAGATAATGAAATTGAAAACTAAATGAAAGAGTAGAAATAGAACAGGAGATGTCTATGAAAAAACTAGATAAAGCTGAAGAATGGCATGAGTGAAACAACTTTGAAATAGCTATGCAGAAGGATGTTTTTAAGATAAGAAGTCCCAACAATAACAGCTCCAAAAGTTAGCAAGAAAAATTAACACAGAAGTCAAAGGAAAGAGAACAAAGTTCCAAGTTACATTTTACAACAGTTTGAGACACATATTTTGAAACAATAATTATGAAATTGGAATATTATTTTAATTTATCTCGTTTTGTAAAAGAAGTTATAATTATATTTGTGTTAGTATTAAATATAAATGATTTTGATAACAGCACCTTGCCACACTGTATAGTTTCATATTAATAATAATCAAGTTATTGTTCCATTTCCATAATAATAATAATGATAACTCTAATACTAAAAATGCATAGACATGGGCCACAGCTGTGCCACTAATACTAAATTGAAGCTAAAAAAGGTCAGCCACTAGAATTTTAGCTCACATGATCAAATGTTCACTTTGTCTGGTTTTGTTGTAGTCTGCCCCAAATTAGTTTGAAGGGGTAAAAGTTACCATATAAAAATAGAACAAGTTATACCCGAAAACCATATTAATATTAATATCCCTTTAACTTTTTATTGCGCGAAAAGATATCAACGAAAATAAAGAAAAATTGATGTGGCTTTGCCCACATATAAATATGCATAGGTTGTCATACATTATTCTTTATGAAATTCATCGAATCAAAATCTAACAATGAACGGTCCTTGTATTCGTCACTGCCGACTGCATGTGACTCTCAAAACATCAAATGTCATTATAAGCCTCTATTTCCCATTCTTAATACATATCGGCTTATTCGTCGAAACTACCACAGTCCAGAGTCGCTACTTTTCTCCTTCTATTTATCCCTCCCATCCAACAGTAGACTTTCTTTAACTTCTAGTCTCTCGTTTTCATAATGGGCTCTGCATCTCCTCCAGACTCAAGTCCAACGAGGGTTGACCAAAGGTAAGCGGCTCGCAGATTTAGCGCTTAAACAATAGTCATGTATAAACTAGTGAGGAACGTATGCATCCACAAACATTTTCAGATGACAGACGATCATGCGATTTCTTTTCCACATGTTTTCACTCTAACAAAACACTGTTCTCTCTAACGCACTAAATCAACCCTGTTACTTTTTTTTTTATCTCGTAAATTCTCATATCCAATTACAACGCATGCCCAATTTACTTTAAACAAGTGAAACAATCATCACCGACCAGGGTGCCCAGTCCTTAACGTTAGACAATGCCAACGACTCTTCTGATACTGTCATTCGCAAAGGCCGCGGGACTTTCCGCGCCGGCTCTGACACTCAACAAGAACAAAAATCATCCCGTCCTCCTCGGAACCGTGAAATTGACCCAATCGCGCAACGCCAATATCCTTCCAAATCGAATGACAAACCTATGAAACAAGGCCACCGCAAATCAAAATCCGAATCCAGACGCGGTAGCAACGGCATTCTTCAACCTGCATCGGAGAGTGGTGATTCAGCTACAGAAGCCATTCCTACTGATGATATGTCCAAGCTCAGTGCTGCTTTTGAGAGCGCTTCGATTAATGAAAAAGACAGCAACTCGCCTCTTGCGCATGGTGTTGATAATATGTCAGGAGTAAGAGTGCAAGCAAGTGCTGCTATTCAGACGCAGAACCTTGAAGAATGGGAGCGGAATGCGGATGGTGGTGAAAGGGTCAGGACGCCTACTTCTCCTGACGCTGAAGTGAGGAGGCTGGATGGTCAGAAGAGTGATGGTGGGAATTATAATAATAGTGGTGGTAATAACAATACGAACAAGCCTCAGTTCAAGAAGGGGCATAAAAAGAGCAAGAGTAGCAGGATTGAGTTTAACTTTGATCCCGGTGAGTTTTCTTTTTCAACAGATGCAATCAGGATAATTAAATAACCCGTTGATATGTACGATCTTTTTTTTTCTTGGTCATTTTGCTCACGCTACACTGTTTCTATCTTGTAGATGCGTATGAAGGGTCGACACGTATTCTTGATGTATTCGGCTTCCCGGCGACATTTAAGACACACAATCTCCACGAGATTTTCCACGAATACGAGAATATGCGTGGAGGTTACCGCATCAAGTGGATGGATGACACCCGTGCCCTTATTATCTTTGAACATCCTGCTACTGGTGAGTAGAGTGTAGGTAACTACTCTTGACTTTGTGGAAAAGTGGAAGTAAAAAGAAGCTATTGTATAATATATTTGTGGTTATGGTAGAATGGTAAACTGTTGACCGAGTTGCTGATTTTTATTGTCGCCCTTTACATTATAAATAGCGCGAAAAGCGTACTTGGATAACGTGGCGAATCCAATGGCCTCTGTGAAGCCGTATGATGGGCCAACGGACTTTCTCCAGAAAAGTAAGTTATGACATGAGCCAATGGATAACATACAGATTTTTGCGTTTTTGATTGCACCTACTACATATGATATATCCCTTAATTTATTTTGTGATCGTCTTTCTGCATTCGCCACCTTTTTCTCGGCTGATAAATTAGATGCCAATAACGCAAATAATCCTGTCCCCCCCCGCGCTCGCCCGCAAACCACTGATGTGGTAGCAAGGCGTTTGGTACATGGTGCTCTTGGTGTACGTGGTCCGAGGTCTCCCGAGCAGCGTCAAGCTGAGCGACAGTTGTTCCAGAATGCCAGAGGTAATTAGCTAACAACACTTTTTATTTGCGAGAGATAAAGGACAAATTTGGTGCTGGTGTCTGATTTCATATCATCTGTATTTGTAAAACTATTTATTACTGTATTGGTGACTGTGTTATTGTGTATTGTTGAAATGTTCCCATATTTATAAAAAATTTTGATTTTTTATCTTCTTTGAATGCTTTTTCTTCAATATCAAAGACCAGCGTGACCAAAGGCGTGCTGAGGAGGTTAGACGTGCTCAGGAATTGGAAGCAGCTTTTAATGAGTAGTAATTGATATGAGCTGTGAAATGATGATGGCTGTGAATTTCGCCACGTGAAATCAGTTGAGGTATTCCTGTTTCGTCACACTAGTATGGTGTAGTACACTATTTGTATTCCAACGTCTTTATGGCAATGATTCAATATACAGTGTGTGTCCATACGTAGTATTATTAAATCTTGTATTTCTCTAGCCAATAGATCTATCTTTTATTGTGCAAATCTTTTCGTATATATATGAGCAGGTTCAATCTCGCTTGGTTTGCGAACTAACTCTTTAAATCATTATAGACTGTGATAATTTATATCAAAAAAGTTTTTATATTCAATTAGATAAACATCGGGAAGGTTAACCTTTTGTGTTTCAGTATGGGAGATTTGTCGCTTATGGCTTGCAGTTAACGTGCTCCCTCCTCCCTCGAGTCAAAATACATTACCCATTCAGTCTTGCTTCGAATTATAATACGTTAATAATAAGGTTTGATTTTGGCATGCAGGAGTTAACAAACGGAAAGTCATTCGATTGTTCAAATCTCCTAATCCCCCTAGATTGTCTGCGATTTAGAAAAAGGGGAGTTTTTGACCCACCATGATCGTGAGCTTAGTCTGGTTACAGAAATTTTATTGGACACGATCAAACAATAAAAGTAAGGAATTACCCGATTTTAAACCTTAATATAAATGGCCACGCACATGGGAGTAGAAAAGTTCTTCCATTTGTGGATATGCAGCATTGCGAATGTGATGGCAAATAATGTTTTTAAGAAATATTAAGAGCAATGCATGTTAATATTAATATTAACACGTCTCAACAAACAAAGTCACCATGATTGGCTCAAGTGTTTCGAAAGATCATAACATCATTTGTCGCGGTTTAAAAAAATGGGTAAGCACACAAAAAAGTTGAATATCAATCGAATGTGACTAAGCCCAATATACCTTTAACAACGTGACTATGACAATTATTGTGTTTGCCATGTTTGGCGAGATTAAATAATTTTCAGAGACAAAGGACATATTGTTGAACGCTTTACGTTTATTTGCATTCGTTTCTCTTATCAGTGGCTGAGTTTTTTAGTCGAATGTTTGCCTGTAACACCTTTGATCATTGATTGTGTTAAAATCGAGTAGACTCGACATTTTGCGATGGATAATGTGATGTTTAAGAAAACAAACTAGCCGGTGAGAATCAAAAAAATCTTGGCAATTTTAACGAAAAATCGCGGTCAATAAAAGTGTCACCGTCTCTAAAGTACTTTCTTTATCCTCCCAAACAAAGAATCAATCCATGCAGAATCTTAAAGAGACTATTCCATAATGAGATAAACAAAGCTGGATAAGAATATGTTCAGGACAAAAGATCCTTGTATTGTTTTATATCACATGATTATCAATACAACGCGCGTGCACGCCAATCAGAAAAGGGATATCAATTGCATATTCGAAATGTGTGTTGTGTGGCGCAATATTTCAGTTGTTTATTTAGTTACGTAAGCTGGTGGAAAAATCTTCCACGTTTTCAGTAACCATATATAAGCAAACGGAACTTGTCAAGGAAAACTTTTCCACAGCGCTTTTCTTCGTCAACGTTGAGGCTTTTGTCCCTTCCTTTCGATCTTTACCTTATAGTTATGTGAAAATGGTTCAACATACAACTGCAGAAGACACTTGGACGGCGTTTGAGAAACTGCTCCTGGCACAGGCAGTATACAAATTTGGTGATAATTGGATAACAGTTTCTCGAACTATGAAACAGCATCCCATGATTAGCAAACCACCGGAATTTTTTTCACCAAAGGTATGTTGATTAGTGTTGCTCTCAAGAAGATAGCAAAACTGTTGCTGTAGGCAAAGTATTGGTTTGTAGTCACGTGGGACAACCAATAAGTTTACGCCACAAGAGGTTATTATTTATAGACATCTATAGACTATGATTCTTATTTTCGCTTCTTACGCAAATTGGTATAACCCCAGTTGGAAAATGAGTTAGTTTTGATAACCAACAACGTCTTTGTGGCGAAACGTCGTCATTTCTCCAACCGTGTTCCAATACTGACAATCGATTATTAATGAACAGATTTGCCAAAATAAATACAAAGTTCTCATAGGGCCCTTGGAGATGGATGAAGTCGAATTGTATGTATTACGCTATTCGCGACTTTACGATTTCTTGCGCTGAATATACATCAAAGGGGCAAGTTAATTATAAATAGCTTACATGTGTAATTGCAGTGAACGACAGTATAATCAAAATTACAGTACGAGGGAACGCGTCATGACGGTAGGATAGTCGCTTAAGTTTTGGATAGTGGGTGAATGTTTTCCTATATATAGCTGTCAAGGATCATCCATCACATATTCAGTGCAAGATATTGTCTAGTTTACTATACCAATACGGTTTGAGATACAAATTCTGATGATTTCTCTATTTCTCTTAATACATCCAGGGAGAATAAAAAGAAACTTGGAGAAGGCATAGGAGCAAATGGTTCAGTAGGATTATTGTTTGTTATTTGCAGTTTAGCAGAGCAGACGTAAGCAATAATAATCAAACTTTGGATTTGTATTCACACAACATGTTTTGCGTCAATATTTTATTCTTGTCCTTTCTTAGATACACGAATGCCAGTAGCCGCAAAATTAGCTCGTAAACTATATAATGACCGGATAGGCGAACTAAAATCATTGATCGGAGAAGAAGAACAGAAATTTCGGTAAAGCCATCACAAGCCTGACCTCTTATTTGTAACCAGACACCCCGTATTAATTGCAATTGTCTATCTCTTTTAGCAAGGTTGTTGCAGAGATAGATGAGATAAGATCAGGGAAACGGGACGACGAGTTAAGGGAAATATTAAAAGAACAAAATCGGGAAAAGGATCATACGCAAAATGTATTAGAGGCAACTACCAAGACAAACGCTACTACTGTTGCGAAAGGTTTGATTACCAAGATATTGACGATTCAGTTGGCATACATAATTCGCAATGACTCATGCAATTACCACATCTTTGACAGGCATAGCAGGCAAATCAGACGGTGAGATATACAATAGTTCATTTGTCGCACAAGGCCGTTGATTACAAATTAAATATCAACATTCTTCCAGCAGTAAAGTCAACGGTCACCCGAACAGCGACTACGAAGCACACCCGTTCACCGCGTCTCGCTTCATTACCCACGACATCAATAAATACTTTCAGAAGTGCAAGAGATAAACAGGCGGGAACTTCAGTCGACAAGGCAAGTGCAATGGAAATCGATCAAACTGCAGCAACATCACAAGCAAAATCAACATCATCACTCGTTACGGCGCGATCGATTACGTCGTCACCTAAAAAAGGGTCACGTTTAGACTCCATGGACATTACTCAAACATCTGCTACTATTGAACAGTCTTCGCAGTTAGCCTCTGAGAAAGTTGGCAAAGACTTGGCAACATCCGGATCATCGGTCAAGCCAGTCGATCATATGGATGTTGACACAAAATTTCCTGAAGATAGCTTTGATATTTCAGAAAACGTTACTACTCCCCAAGAGCCTAACAACGAATTAGAGCCGCTAAAACACGAAGCAGTAAGGAGAATAATGAAAGCCACATCACCAAGTCAGACCGAATTGGAAATTGACAGCCCACGAACAATCGCTGGAGACTCGGCTATGGATATTGACGAACAAATGGGCGAAATTAATCCGTCTTCTAGGGATGTTGCAGAGACATCACCGCGTGTACACTTTGCCGAAGCAGGGCTCGGATCTTTGTCTCATCCCACTGTTGGTGGAAGAATGGAATATGATGACGATACTACGCCGGGTAATGGCACTCAATCAGACATAGAAGCATCGAATATAAGCCCTAGAACTCTGCCGGCAGGTAAAGACAGAGATACAAGCTCATTTGATGGTATAATTGTGTCGTCACCCATTCACATGGAAGATATGAATTCAGCTGAAGCGCAGGCATCTACGATACCTTACACAATAGTAATGCAAACAGGTGCCAGTATGGATACAACAAGAGAAGAAAACAGTGATGATGATGACGTGCGAATGGTAGATGTGTTATCGGATGAGGAGGAGGCCAAGGAAGCAAATATGAGCAAGGATAATGAACACGAGTTGGAGTCGGCAACTTCTCGAGAAATGAAAGAGACGCCAACTTCTGCTGGGCGTGCGCCTTCTACTCCTGAAGATGGTAAGGATAATAGCGTATATAGTTTATGCATTAAGCAGGCGTGGTAAACCGGTCTCATTCGTTCTTATGTTCAGGCGCCAGTGAAATAACAAGTGTAACACCAGGTGCAGAGACGTCAGGTACCACTTTTTGATTAATAATTTGCTTTGTATCGTACTGATCCCTAAAATATGTCTTTTCTTTATTCAATTTTGTTGCGTAGAAGGTGCTGGGTCAACGGCTGACAAGAAACACAAGACGTGGTTGAGACTTGTGTATATGATATTAACTGATATTGGTAACCATCGATTTGCGAGTGTGTTCCAGAATCCGATTAAAGAACAAGACGCACCTGGATATTATAGTATTGTCAAACAACCAATGGATCTGAAAACCATTAAGAAGCGACTCCGTGATTTAGTATGTGGAATGTTATGAAAAGTTCGCTCGCTCGCATTTCCGTAAACCTATACTAATTTCCGTTGTATTCGTTCTCTGTAGGTTGTAACAACGACAGATGAGTTTCATCGAGACTTGATGTTAATGTTTATGAATGCATTAATGTATAACCGAGAAGAAACGCATATATATCAAGTAGCAATGCAAATGAAAGATGAGGTGGAACAAATGATTCTAGAGTTTAAGCGAAGCGAAAGTGCTCGTGCAGGATCATTTGAGACAACTACGCGGAGAAAGAGTGTGGCAACTGAGCCTACTAGTCGGATACTGCTGACATGATAATTAAGTCTGAGAAAAAAAAATACTCGAAAATATAATAAAGTTAAACCACGAGTTACATGCGTATGCATTACGTAACGCTGTATATAAAAAGCACAAGATCGACTATTATGAGAAAAGTTCATATGGATGGAATGACTGTATTAGCCATTATCTTTAAGACAACGTCACATATCTTAACCTCAGTTCTTAGTTATTATTTCAAATAACATCGCAGTAGTTTGGAAAGAGTTTGGGGAACCATACATTAGGTATATCGAATCCGACGACTATAGGGTTAAGCTGAATGGCAATCAAACGCGGTTTATCATATAGAAAGTACAGGAACTGCGTTTTGAATTAGTTCTTTAAATTTATTTTCCAAAAGCAAAAATAATTCAGTTGGTTTAAATAGAGTTTGACGAATCTGTAATTGAGCTGATTAGAATAGAAGATAACTTAAGAATTGCGTAGGTTTGTAGGAATGACAAAACTTTAGCTGTTTACTGTGTTTTGATTGGATTACGCGTAATTGACAGTGGGCGTGGCTCTTGTCAACAATTCTAAAGAATTCTATTCGTAACAGCAAATAAGTCGGTTACTATTGACGGAAAAATTTTCTCATCTTTTACATGTTCCGATGTTTCTAACACAATTACTAATCTCGATAATACACGACTTAATTAGTGAACATAATGAACAAGAAATAAGACGATATTAATTGTGGCAGAGTAAAAACGAAACCGGATTAACCCGACTTTTTTCTATGTAATTTTTTGGTAGTGTTTGATAATAGACGAATATATGTGGGGTTCTGAAGCTTTTAAGGATGGACTCGAGACCTAAAGTCGGTTTAATCCGATTTCGTTTTTACTCTGCCACAATTATTAATGAGTATTGATAACCCTTCGTTTCTCAACTTGCGACCAAAGTCAGAATGCACACTAACGTATTGTTTTCATCAACGAAAAGGTAATTAACCACTGGACTGGAAACCATAACAAGGCATCAAAAAGCTTCTTAGCAAGATCAACTGATTGAGTTTGAACGTGAAACTAAGAACAATTTGGTAGCCAAGGAAGTACTAACACGAAACAATTGGAGAGAGGGTCCCGTGCAATTATCAGGATAAAATTTACTATGTATATGATGGAAATCTGCTTAATAATTGACCCTACTGATATCTACACCTAAAAGTATTTAGACTGAAGAAATCTCTCAACGAAATAATATAGTCAAATGATTACAGTGCTAGCGCTTGTGAATGTATGATTTACCAAGAAATTAGCGTACGTAATCATAATTATGATAAATACTTATGCTTAATGAACATTAAGAAGTTCCATTTTGCTCTTCCCATTGAGCTGGCGTGTAGGTTTTCTTAAATTCAGACGATAATGAGAGACAAGATCAACTAACAATTGTACGATTGAGAAATATTATTCACCTGTGAGAAAGCATGTAAAGCAGCTATTTCAGCTTTGGCGGCACTATTAACCATTTGGTGTTTCTGCAAGAGCGTCTTGCCTTCAAACACCGAGGAAACAATAATAACGTTAAAGCTTTGACCACAACCGCCTTGGGTTGTGAGCGTATTGATAAATAATGCTATTCTTCACAAAATAAATTAACACTCTAGTAATTCCTCATACCCGAAGTATCAGTAGCTACTACATAATCTGCAGACAACTTTTCTCTTAAGACTTCCTCCAAAGACTCTTTTGTAACAGCCATTTTGCAAGAAACGCAAAGTGAGAGAGTCTTACAGAATTGAACTTGGCATATTATTGGTGATAAAACGCCACAGTCCAATCCACTAGCCACCAAAGCACATTCGCTAAATAAATCATTTTGGTTAACGAAATTCCTTCGATGCTCAGTTTATTTTGATTTGTGACTGTTAAACTGGGGAGCTTTGGACGCTTCCATGCAAAACGAGTTTACGAGATTTCCACCAAAAATCTGATTAGAACAGACAGTATATTACAGACCGTTATTCGGTTGGAAAGATCGCGTCAGTTTCAAAGAATGATGGCAAATACTCCGAGACTAACGTCTCTGTCAATAATAACTGCTTGCGCTAAGTCTTAAAAATGTGTTGTCTCTTCGTCCATCGGCCATGCCTCGATGATTGTCTCGTTACTACTAACATCTATTTGGATGTTCCAAATATAAATTGGCCTCCTGTGTCAGTTGCTTAATTTAAAATTAAACTTACATTTATTCTACCGTCATTACCAGTTGACACAATTTACACAACAAGTGCTATATTTAGTAGTATTGATTATACACATTAATATATATATATATATATATATTTTTTTTTCCTACTTGACAACGGATGCAAAGTGAATACAACCCCCGAATATACAAAGAAAGTAGTTTACGAGTAATACCATATACTCCAAGGTCCATTCAATAATTAAAATAAAATGTATCAGATTAGTACTAACAAATAATTTTACCAAGATTCTTTACCAGAAAGTATCCTATATTATAAAATGACCATAGTGAATGTTGACGTTTAATTGTATATTTTAACTACAGAGTCCGCCCCACCACTTGCAAGCCATGGAAGTGTTGGATGGTATTGCAGACACAGTACACCTTCGTCTGATTTACGACGATGAGACATAAATTCCTGAACGCACGTTTGTCCTGAAAGAATATCCCATAGACGTATTGATGCATCATGGCCTAGTTGAATCAAAATAATTGGATTTCTTAGCAAGTGTCATCAATCTTCATTCCTACGTACCCCCAGCCTATCCTCCCACAATCTCATATGACACCAAAGACCTGATATTTACCTCCTGATATTAATATCATCCCTGACGGATCAATGTCTAGAGATGTGACCGAGTCCAAATGCGCTGACATTGAGAATATGGTGTCACCTACATCGTACATAATGTTTATATCATCGACTGCGTTCCATGAAATTCACCAGAAAAGCAGTTTTATTCAATACTTACCGCTATTTATGTCAAATCCTCTTATGTATTTATCTTCATGTGCGGAGAACACTTGAGGCATGGTTGGGTGACAGATTATACGATTAATCTGCGTACTAGCTGTACCGTCATATGTTTTATCACTCTTAAACGTCACCACTGGTTGTCCAGTCTCAATATCAAAGATTTTGATTATTGAATTTTGAAATGACACGGCAATCTTTTTCAGATCTGTATGCACAAAATCTATAGACGTTGGCACCGGAGGACGGCCTGACAAAAGGATTGAATGTTAGTTAACATTATTCGCAGGTAAATTTCGGGACATGGCGATTATTAATGCACGTAGCTTTTTTAACATATAATTTTAGCCTAAATGGAACTCACCTCCACCATTAAGTCCGTCAGCATGTCCAATACCGTAATAGTTCCAAGTACTCTTTAATGGAGATCCTACTTCTTCAGTATCCCATATCTTGACGGTACCATCAGCAGCAGCCGATGCAAGTAACTGAGAATTTTGGTCGTGTATTGGGAACAGTCGTAAATCCCAGATTACGTCCGTATGGCCAATGTATGCAGTCAAGTTTAGTGATGGATCTGAGTGAGACAAGAATTAATTCATCCAAGCAGAATAGGGATAGTCTCTCAACAACAGTAAACACACAAATAGGATTGGGAAATTCCAAGGCAAGAATATATATATATGTGGAAAAGGCTAGCCCAGCAAAAATAAATAAAATAACAATGTCCTTACCAACTGGTGCATAGAGTTCCCTAGTAGCTGGTATTTTCCATACACGTATTGTAGCATCCATACTGGCTGAGTAACAGGTCGATTGTTCGGTAGACAGCACCACAGATGTTACCGGTAATGTATGACCACGATACGTTAGTATTGGTTTTATGTCATATTGTCTATAGAATAGAAAGTACGTCGTGAGTTTCAGCACACAGCAATAAACACAAAATCGCTTTTATCTATTGTTGTTTTTACTTTGGTGACAGCGTTTCATTCAAATCCCACAATTTGACAGTCCCATCATCTGATCCGGAAACAAATAACGGTTCATAGCGGTGCCATGACAATGACCGTACACTGTCGAGGTGACTAGAAAAGTGATTTGGACATTGTTAATCAAAATACGTTGTTTTTAACGAATGTGACAAGGGGGTGAAACGAAAAATACCTGCGTAGTGTAGCTCTCGTTTTCCATAATTTATTGTCTACCCCGTTTACGTGCTCTTGATCAGTCTATCATAAGTTTTGGAAAAATATTAGCCTTTGTCTCCTCTATCGAATATCGTTCGATTGACGCTGTTGGAAAGATCAACAGTCCGACTAGTAACCGTAATACAGAAGCGTCCACATCATTTTTATACCTCTGCTTGATTGCCTTGCTCGTCGTCAACGTCTTGCCAGGCATTGGATAATTCACCCAACTGAGGGTCAGACGTCTGTTCTACTCGCATGTTGATAAAATGTAAATATTTCGTTTATTTATCCTCTGAAGAAACTTTTCAACTATACAAACCAATGAAGTCATGACTATTCATTCTCCTCGTCGTTCTTATAACTTTATCCAATTTCTCGTTTGATAAATTAAATTTTGCTTGCACGTCTTTTTTCTGTTATAAAACAACACAACTTTGAAGCTTAGCATCAAAGACTTTTCGTTCAATAATCCGCAATTGCCTCATACCAAACATACCAATTGCTCTTCTTCCATTTTCTCTTCTTCTGCACTCTTCCTAGATGGTTTCTTAGTAGCACTTATTTTATTGCCAAACGCCTCTCTCCATCTATTAAATGACTTTTGTGCGTACATAGTAACAATCTCTTCATTGTCTGCACCTCTTTCCAGATAACCTCCCTCTTTCTTTCCAACTCTATTGCTACCATCTTTATTCCCACGAATGGTAGAAACTGTATCTGAAGTTTCATCAATACTGGGAGAGAAGGGTGAACTACTTATCGGTGTAGATTGTTCTTCATTATAATCGTCCTCGTCCTCGTCATTGCTTTTGGCAGTCTCGGCTTTATTTTTACCCTTCCTGTCTTCAGTAGCATTAAACCAATTGTCCTCATATTCATTAACATGTTTTCGAGACGTTGATACTTGCTCAAGTGGTGGACTAGACGATTTTGGAGGTACTATCGTTGATGGTGCAGAAGGAGCTGGTCGAGAGGGACGTATTTGTTCCCGAGAATCATTACGGTTATGAGATAATGTTCCATGTGGGTCGGGGCCCAAGTATATGGTGCTAGAGCGGTTGGCTTGCTGGGAGAATGCCTGAGCTGAATCATTTAAGTTAACAGTGTCGCTACGATTAGGAATAGGTGAAATGCCGGTTGTTGCTACGTTCGTAAGATATTCTATTTCTTGCAAGCAGCTTGGAAAATAGAAGAGATACAATCAAGATGTATAGAATCATTAAAAGTAATGAGGAAGAGGGAGGGGATGTGGAGGAAAGAAGTAGACTTGTTCAACATACAATATATTTCGTTTATGTGGTTTACATAAATCGATAAATTATTATCTTCCATAATACGTACTTTTTAAGCAACTGTTGACTCTTTGCTCGAGTCTTCTGGTCACGAGTTAGCTGTATATTCGTATACTGTGCAGAAACGGGTCTAGAAGTTTGTTTCAGTCCCGTTATTGGTACTGAAATTTTGCATCGAATGAGTTATTAGAGAAAAAAAAAAACACAAAAAGGTGATAATGCAAATTTCCATAAAAACGCTATTGCCAACTATGATTTCTTTATTAGAAGTTACATACTTCCATTCACGTTGGTGGACGATGTGACTTCAGTTGTCGCGATTCCAGGTGGAGAAACCGTGTTATTTGAGTGTGATTTTTCAGCCACATATTTACTCCTACAAGGCACAAAAAGAATTCGTCATGATGAGTTATCGTCATGAGCAATTGAGAATTTAATGTTTATAATTCGGTAAGATCAAGTTGTTTGTTTTTTTTTTCTAAAAAAAATTGCATTAATGATAATTGCCTTTCTTGACGTAACGCATATTCGAGCATTTTAACTCTTCTCATTAAATCTGTTTTCATATTCTCAATTCCACGGCGTTCACCTTCTAATAGCGCAATACGAGCCTAGGGAATCGATGGAACGTAATACACGAATTAATCAACAATCACACGAGAAATCCCAATTGAAAGATATTCCGAGTATGATTTCTTTGCTAGAACGCATAGACGAGTCAATGATGTATTCGAAATCTCTCTTTTCTGATATATATATGCCTTTGAGTAAAATTTCGCCAAAGTTCTACTCGGATCGAATTACTACTCTTCTCATAACTCACGCACCTTCATTTCAGCGCGTTCTATCTCCCATTCGTTCCTATCCCTCTCGTATCTTCTCCATTCTGACTGTAAGAAGTGCAACACTCCTGGTAGTGTGTATTCTTGTGATTGAGTCTGTTGTCCTTGTTGTCCATATGTTTGAGCCATAATTGGTAAGGAACGGAGTATCTGAAAATATTTCTAGGGCGTGGAGAGAGGGAAACGAAGGAACAGACGAGGTCGAGTACGAGCAACTGTTATAGTATCAAGTGGTAGGGATAGATTGAGTATTAGGTTAGAGAGATGCGAGTTTTTGCGTGAAACTGGGGGGGAAGTGAATCGTGTTCATGTGACAGCAAGCATTGTGATGATCATAAGTGTTGTGAGATTATGATTGGACAGATTAGAATGGTTGGATAGAATGTGGCTTAGTATACCCTCCTTTTGCGTATTGATCGTACATCGTATTCACAAGCTTTTTTGATTGATTCACACAACACCAGTTTTTTTTTTATTGTTCATCAAAGTTTTTTTTTTCAAAGTCAGTTTTCGTTATTGAGGATATTTATAATAATCTAGACATTTCTTATTTTTCCGAAAAACCTTTTGACAAGGCACATATATATACATACACATATAGAATGAACACAACTAATATTTATATAAAAACCGGGACCCCTTTCGATCGAGTCATACTCCAATTTGCACTAATATCTCATGCAATAAAGCTTCATCGGGATTCAAAGATCGGAACAAATCGAAATTAAACGTTTCATCGTCAGGCATTAATCGATCGCTCAGTTTATCGATGGCGATCACCGACAAACACGTTTGAACGTATGCATCTATAAGGTCATCAACGCCGATTCCAAGCTGATTAAAGTCTTTACGATCCATGAGGAGCAGACGTTCTGGTTCGGATGTCCATCGGCCGTCCTCCTGCTTAACCGAAAGATTTGTTCCGAGCATTTCCCATGATGAACCTGAGAAAAAAGGGGGGGAGATGAATGGTTTTAGTTAGAAAATACATGATAGAACGTTATTATAAACGATATATATGAAATGAAGAAAAATGGCATAAATAGTGTTATTATACTATCCTCGCGGGCTCCTTATTAGATCAAACTCATTATACTTACAGTTCGGGTTATCTTCAAGTTTAGTCACCAAAGGCTTTCTAGCTCGTCGAGCATACATTGCCACAGGTCTGAACCCATTCCTGTCCGCAGTGACCATGATTCGCAAGTCGGAGACGTATGTGTGATTGCGTCTGTTTGGAATTGTACCAACGTGGAAAAATTTGCCAGCCCGAGTCGTTGACGACCAGGAGGCATTACCAACGAGCGATTGGACTATGAATTTATCATAGTGGTGGTTCATTTCGAGGAATTGGTCGAGCTCATTTTCGTTTGTAATTGTGAATACACCTTGACCTAGGAAATGAGTGAGCGATTTAGTTTGTTTAACGGGTAGGCGGGTAATATAAAAATTTGCGACAAAGAACTAGGTAACATTTAAACCTAAAAATTTTTTAACCATTACTATCCCGTTAACTTACCAGCATTGCTATACGGTATTTTCAAGACTGCATGCCCGCCCATATAATTTACCCATAATGGAATCGCCTCTTTTGTGACATTGTTTATTGTTTCCGGGATCCTTACGGCCAGTCCCGAATCAGCCAATTCAGCATTAAAGAATTCGTATGCTCGAGCGGCCATCATTTTGTTTCTTCCGCCGGCAAGGCATGAAATTATCGGATTTAACACGAGAGTTTTGGTGGTGAGTGGAAAACGATTCCAGGGTTTCTGGGTTACGTAGCGGAAGCAGGCACGGATCGAGTGGAAGACTGAATATAGTGGTCGGTTTTGGTTTGGGGTTAAAGAGAAGATTGAAGAGGGATGAGCAACAAAGAAGGAGAGAGATTGACAAGGGATTGAATAGTGATATTTGAATATTCGAGAATTGGATTAACTTGTATATATATCCAATCCCTCTCCATCATACCCTCTTCGCCCCATAAATTTCCCATTCCCCAACTCACCTCCATTCTCGTCTCTCACATGCATAACCCGATCAACCCACTTGACAGGTGGATCTTCATCTTCATCATAAAACTCGACGCACCACACCTTCTCTTTTGAAATTTCAGCCAATACAGATGCATATGCTGTCGTCTCCATTTTATTCTTGTCGTAAACTACAGCCAGACCTCCAAGCGCCGGATCAGCTTTTTCGAGGACTTCTCGGAATGCTGTTTCCAGGACAACGCGATATCCGCCATATTCTTCGGTATCAGATAACAGCGGCATCGATTTCTGACCGGAGGGGCAAGAATTGGTTTCTATCAATATCATTTGGCGTTGGCCAGAGGCGGTTGTTATATTGAACAGATCGCTTCCTAAGTAGACACATAAGTTTGTAAAAGAGAAGAGATTGGGTTACATGATATTCGATAATAGGGAAAATTTGTCATATGAATTAGTCCATTAACCATAAGTCTATGTGGTTGATAAGATTTATACAGCTGCAGTGTGACATACAGATGGGTTACACACGCATTGACGGGCCGAACGGAAAAGATAAGGATGAGACCAAGAGATTACAGCACGAGAAGGGCAGAGATGAATTACAGGGTCAGGAAAAAGAACGTGATAATTTCACAACTATCACTATGTCTAACGTTATTACTCTCTATACTATATAGTCGTTCTGTATCTCGACTCACCTGCCCATTTGAACGTCTTTGGTTGATATGATAAACATTCCCTTAATTTATCCAAATTAACTTGAGGGTTTAAGTGGGCATATCTGGCCATTATTCTCTCGTTTCCCAACTGGAAGAAACTGGCGACCAAGGGGTGGATAGTTGCATTAAGAACGCGAGGATAAAAGTGATTTTCTGATTCAAATTCACCAGGATGAACCAAAGTTGCTTGATTATGCTGATGGAGAGTGGGTGACCGTTGACCGTTCTTATTGGGGCTCGATTTTGGGTTGGTATCGTTGCTGTCAGAGTCCGAGTCTGTGAGTGTCTTATCGAATACGTCTATACTCATCGTTTTGATTGACGCAGTATTTGTAAAGGCGTCTTTTACAAGTTTTGTTTGTGATTCAGGCATTATGGAAATATCAGTGGTTTATTGCAACGAAGCGTAAACGATGATACTGGAAAGCGTTGGGTTTTTATTCCTTTTTTTTTTTGACGGGTTACGTATGTCATATATCTATGACGCTCTTGGGCTTATCCGTGATGTGCATGATCACTTCGTTTGGATTGATTGGTAGGATTTAATATTCGTCATTGTGTAGCTGTCTGGTTTGCCCTGTTTCACCTCTACAATAAGGATATTATTCACATCAAATAAGCGAGATCGCCCAATGGGGATGTATTATTGCTCACGCATTGTTTATAATATGGCAGGTTGATAATAATACAGGTTAAAAATACCATGTTATTGTCTCGAAGAATAAAATACCGTTGGAGGAAATAAATAAACGTACGTCAAACAAAAGCATGCGATTACCCACGAGACATATGATTGGTTTCCTTTTTAAGCCGAAACTTGCTTAAAGCTCGCGTTAATTGATAAGAACCGATACTGGCCAATTGTTTGTATTCGCTTATCGTTATGCATGATCTTACCGCTTTTCTTTGTGAGCATTATCGACACAGCCATCAGAGACAGTTCTTACAATAGATATTAAACAATATAATATGCAGGCAAATTTTATTTGACCTGACCAACTGCACAGGTTTGTTGGGAACTTTCCCTGTGGAATCAGCATACAGCCAATAAGCACAAATTAGTATAAATCGCTATATGATGTGTGCCGATCCGCCCAAGGGCTAAATAAACGCCACAAACGTTTAATATCCTATGATCATTGGAAAGAGTGTGATGGTCCCTCTTTGCTAGTATTTGATTCGTTCTGATGGTTCTAAAAATACAACAAATGTTCCTTACACAGCGTTCTTGTTGGATAAGGGGGGAGGGGGGAAGGATCAAATTAACCCCCAAAATCCCAGGTACCGTCTTTTATTTAGAGAATAACATAGCCATCTGATTCCAGGGACTTTAAAGTTGTTTACAACAAATATTTCGTCATAGTGTCCCACACAGTGTTATCTCGACCAATCATAAGCGTAGATTCTTGCGCAATACTGGTCAGATCGTTCACAATTTGGGATAGCACACTTCTGCAAGTTGGCCATCATTAACGTTAAAAACAAGATTAGTTTTCTCTGTGCTGCCGTCACAGCCAACGTCGTTATTATTATATTATATCGCACAAAATTCGGGATTTGGAAAGCCCGTGCTAATCTTCATGTGCAACACGCAGCCCCGAAAAAGCGCCAAGTTCTGTGTTTGAGAAGACAAACGAGCGGGCAACGATAATAATGTCCGCATCTTACCACATCTGTCTTTGATAACATGACTACTAAGAATGAAGGTCTAAAATCTCTCTGCGCTATAACTAGTTTCGCAAGTTGACCACGCTGTTTACAGACATTATTGCTATATCTAATGGTAACGGATTCGAACTGCATCATATTATTGCATTTAGTGAAGCCATTATTAACTTATTCCCAGCATACCTTCACCAAGAAGCTGCAGTGTTAATGTAAATGACAAAAGCGTATTGTCATCACCGGCTATCTGAAAATTTTACGTAATATGTGAAACGCTTTCTCAACAATTTTAAGTAATATCGACACATGCATCATACGGAATAGATCCTCCGTTGATAATAAACCCTTTCGCCTATATTGTCCTCATGGTTTAAGATCTTGATCATAAACAAAGAGTGGTGACAGAACATTCGTAATGCAAATAACCCTTTTTTTTTTTTGAGAAATTACTGTATTACATACACAGACCATTAAAGAATTGTATTATAATTTGTTATGAGAGCGCCGATAAAACAATGATTAGAATATTCTCAATTAATCCATCAGTATCTTCCGTGTCGCGCGCGTAGGCTACAAGATAATCTTTGATCTTGATGATCTTGATGGGACGAATATTTGCCACCCGCAACTATACTGCTATGCTAAAATATTTGTTGGATCCAATGAGCTCTGCTAGAAAAAAATGAGTGGGATTAAACACGGTCATTGGTGGAAGCAGACCAATTACAGGAATAGAGTTTGAAGTAATGCACTATTTACCTTTTGTTCAATCATTAGAGAGCCCAACAAGAATACAGCAATTGAGCTGAAACGGTTGAACAGAATTCGGCTTACAAGATTTAATTAGTCGCCGTGGTTAGATTTCAACAATCAGCTGACCTTAACCTATGCAATTGGACAAAATATGCCACGAATGATAATACATTTCTGTTTCATGTAGGGATCTGTCAGGAGCCAGCAAAGTCCTAAGACTAGTTTAATCAAATAACAGTGGCGTCAGAAAATATTATTAACTACTTCATAAACACTGACCCTCAATTTATTACCACAAAAATAGTTATAGTCAGTAAGGTAGGTACTTTTCATGAGATTTTTATACAATTATATATGCTGTAACAAAACCAGACAAAGTGAACATTCTGTTATATGACATAAATGTGAGGCTGATGGGGTAGTGGCTGTAAAAGTGACCAGTATGATTGATAACATTTTAAAAAGTGGGGCAGACTGCAACAAAACCAGACAAAGTGAACATTTTATTATGTGACATAAATGTGGGGCTGATTATGATGTGGCTGTAAAATTGACCAGCATGACTGATGACATTTTAAAAAGTAATAATGATGCTCATTCATAACTTATGGACTTGTCTCAACTTTAATGCTTGCTTTATCATACCAGAATGTGATGAATATAAACCATAACGGGATTAATACAGGATTATCTCCATATAAAAATTATAACATGAAACTAATTTACATTAAATCTACCATGGAACCCAAGAATTACAGCACTATTAGAAGCATTTTAAAGAAAGCTCAAGGAGAGAAAATTGCGCCCTATTACTATGTTTTCAAAATCAATAATACCCAAACTATCCAGGAATATCTAGATCAAGAAAAAATAACTTATGAAGTTTACCAATCTTTAAATTACTTCTTTACTTTTAATCAAGATCATCTCTTATTCTCTTTAACTTCAATTTGAGCAATT